ATAAGAAGATGCGCAACCTTATGGACGATTTCGTGGAACAAAACATGTCCGAGATGTAGCGGGCGTTACCGTCAGCCTGTCTGAGAATTCCGAGCTTTACTTTAGCTCTGCGCTGCTGCGCCCTGATAGTCGTTTACAGCGCGGCGGATACAGAATACTGTACCGTAGCAGACCGTAGTTCTCCTTTCAGTCGACAGAGTGAGTGGTTGCCGGAGACAGTGTTGCCAGAACTACTGATTAATCCGTAAATTTACGGATTTTGAGTACAGTACGTTAATAACACGAATTTTCCATCATTAAACAATTTAATATAATATTATATGTGTGTGTGTGATAATAACAGCGTCAGAGTTGGCTTGGAAATGAAGATCGCTTTTATTTCATATGTAAAATATTATGGTAAATGTCAATAATCGTCATTTACAAGCCAACCAAATGACTTTTTTCGATACGACATATATTCAGTTCATATAAAAGAATTTTTATTTTTGTTGTTTATTCTATGTTTAACACCAATAAATTTTCAATATATAAACGCGGATTTTTCATCCAAAGATATTTATTTTCGTCAAACGTATTACATATATTACACATTTTAATATGGCAACACTGTCGCTTTCAGATTCACACCGTCTTCGATATGCCTTCGCTGGCCAAATTAGACAAAATAAGTGCGTTGGCCGCAGAACGATTGGTGTCTTCACCGTACCACACTTGAGACGTAAGGGGAAATCAAATCAGCCTTGTCGCGAATTCGCTCATTAGGTTGCGCATCTTTCCAATTCTTTCAATCAACGATAATAATCATAAAGCGGAAGACAACATTTAAAAAATGTCTATACCTATGTGGCGGATTCATCTCTCCAAAAAAATCCTTTATGGATATTTGCGAAAATTGATTGGCGAAAAACCCATAAAGGATTTTTTTGGATAAACACTTAAAAAGTATTCTGGGTATCTAGTTTTATATACCGGGTGAGTCTCAAAAGTGGCTCACCCCTATAACTTTTTTATTTTTTTAGTTAAAAAAACGAGATTTGGTATGTTAGTATATGACATAAATTAGGATTGATTGATATATTCAATTGTTTTCGGTCACTTCCGGTTTCACCGGAAATGACTACTTTTGATTTTTAAATAACACCCTCGGTATTTTTTTACTTCATTCGATAGAAAATAACGCTCTGAACAGAATGACATATTATATGTCAACTTTTGGCATTTTCGCATATGGTTTATTTGAAATTATAACTTGCGGTTCGTAACGAAAATTTGACTCGAAATACCAAGTGTGTGGTATCAAATTATTCGTAAAAAAATGCTTTTTCCAAATATGCTAATGAGCCACCCTCATTCCATTTGAAAAAATTGAGATGATTAAAAATACGATTTGAGCATTTTCTAACTGGCCAGGACAAGACATTAAAAACATTAGACGATCAAATCTATTTTTCCAAGGCTCCTTGATAAAGAATTGGTGTTTTTAACATAGCCATGGCACTCTAGATTGAATTTTAAAATACAATTTTTTATTAAGCGAGAAAGTCAAAAGTTGACATATGATATGTCATTCTATTCAGAATGTCATTTTCTATCGAATAAAGTAAAAAAATACCGAGGGTACCATTTAAAAATCAAAAGTTGTAGTCATTTCCGGTGAAACAGGAAGTGACCAAAAACAATTGAATACGTCAATCAATCCTAATTTATGTAATATACTAACATACTAATCTAATTTTTTTATCTTAAAAAATAAAAAAGTTATAGGGGTGAGCCACTGTTGAGACGCACCAGGTATTGCCATAAAGCTTAAAATTTGCAATATTATACAAGTTAAGCGGTCCATACATTATATCAAACAAATTATGCAACACCGTCTGTTACGCAACGAGTTGCCAATGTATGGTAACGTTTGATGCGTTGCGCAATTGTTTGATAAGTTTCAAGAATGTTTGAATTCTTTTGTGCAAAAGGCGTTTGCGCAGCGCGTTGTGAAGTGTATGTGTGTGTTGCGCTTTGTTGTACAATATTTTAGTTCTTTCATCCAAATTCTTTGTTTTCTTTTTAATTTTTTGGTATCATCGACATCATCTAGGGTATGTACGATAATAATCGATGCAATGGCAATTGAGGACATGATTGTTTCTCAAACAATGCACAACTTTTAATAAAAAGTTTGATCAAAATTTTACTAAGTGCATGGGTGATGCAGTTGTGCAACGCAACGTTGCGCATCGCTTTGTTGCGCAATTTGTTTGATAATGTATGGGTCGCTTTAGTATTACTATTCAAAATGACGACGTAGAACGGTTTTATGTCAAATTCAAAATGTCGAAATACTGGAGTTACTCGATAGAAACGAAGCCGGGAAAGAAAAAAAACGGGTTTGTTGTTACTTTTTTGGTTTTTCATAGTAACCAAAATTAATAATTTGACATTAAGTAAAATCACTATTAGTTTAAAACTTGAAATTAAGACTTTTGTCATTACTATTTTTTACTGTTTAGCCTGTCTTTAACTGGCAAACGGCATTTTTGGCAAATGCACTCCTCTTCATATTCGCATTTGGGGCTTGTCATCAAGGACAACTCTATAGCAATATGGTAGGTTTTATTTTTTAGTTTATTTTTATTTTTTAGTTTATTTTTATTTTTTAGTTGAGATGAAATAGGGAAAGTAAAAGTGTGAGAGAGACACAGGAAGTTTATTGGTTATTTTAAATAACAGTTGTATTAACTGTTATTTAAAAATAACCAATAACGTGATAACTTCAATTACACTCCTGTTACTGTTTTAGAATAGTGAATTTTGTAATGAAATATATCAACTGGAATGGTATAAATTGGATGTGGATAATTTAAGACTTTACCGCATGCATCTACTAAATGTAAGAACGCGAAAAATCGTTTTCAGTGGCGTACTGCACCCGGATTACAATTTTTTTTCTATAGTAAGGAAACATTTTTCATAATATATACGTCGAATTTATTGAAAATAAACTCGTATTCTTGGATGTTTTCAATAAAAATGAAGCTTTTATTTAGTAGAGTAGTCGCATCTACAGAAATAAGACTTACATTTTGTTTTTATTTAAGATTATAAAAATATGGTATTCTACTGCGAATCTTTTATATACCAGCCAATATAGGAAAAGTTGAAAATTATTGCTTCAAGAATCAAATGGTATTAAATAAGTACAGGGTGGGTCAAATTGGACGCTTTTAAAGGGAACCACCATTTCCTATAGGAGATAGACAAAAACTAATACCGGTGTCTGGAGCTCAATTTTTATCAAAAACATAATGGTGAAAACAGCACATCGATACCTGTTACCGTTTCGGAGTTATCGGGTGTTTTTCAAAAATGTGTATTTTTAACAAATCGCTGTAAATTTGTTGCTATGGAAAATGTTGTATTTTTTTGAAAACATTTTTAAAACACCTTTTTACGTAGAATTTAAAGGATTAAGTATATTTTTTTTAAAATTAATAATAGAGTTATTAACAGACAAATTCATTTTTTATTTGGGACACCCTGTATATTTTTAATTAACTGAAAAAGACTAACTTTCTGCAATCTTTCCAAAAATATTGCACACTTGATATTTTGTTATAGTCCCCTTCGAAATACTGAATTTTTAATTTAATATACAAATAAATTTTTTATTTTTAAATTGGCCGTATAATCTAGACAAGAATTAGAAGTACTTAGCGGTTATACGAGGGTATCTTTCACCCCCACTGAGTTAAAGAAATCCGCAAAAAATGTTCAAAAACGATCCAGCCATAACAGAAGACGGTCAACATGTTGAACACCTGAAGAGGAATCGAGCAAAATATCAAGTATGCTATATTTGTGGAAAGGTAATTTTAAATTCTTTTCAATGAATTAAAATATACAGGGTGTCCCATATAAAAAATCAAATTTTCTGTTGATAATTCTTAAATTATTAATTTTAAAAAAATTATACTTAAACCATTAAATTCTGCATAAAAAGGTGCTTTGCAAATGTTTTCATAAAAATACAAAATTTTCCATAGCAAAAAAGTTACAGCGATTTGTTAAAAATACACATTTTTGAAAAACACCCCGTAACTCGGAAACGGTAACAGATATCGGTGTGCGGTTTTCACCATCACGTTTTTGATAAAAATTGAGCTCCAGATACCGATATTAGTTTTCGTCTATCTCCTATAGAAAAGGTCGTTTCCCTTTAAACGCGTCCAATTTGTCCCACCCTTTACATGGTGGCTCGAATTCGACGCTCATCATTGGTATTTCGAAAACCGTAAGAGATACAGGATAGGTTAAATGGAGGCAAAGTTGCGCAATTTGATGCTCAATAAAATGCCGTATTGCATTTTTACTTTTTATTTATTTTTTTTTTGCATAAAATATTCTGGTGATGGAATTTTCTGTACGAAACGTCGGCAAATATCAAAGTGACTATATATGTATAGTGTTTTAAGAGTGATGAAAGGATTTAATTAAATTGAAAAAAAAATCAGGTCCGTATTTAAAAAAAATAAATTGATGATGGTCGCCAGAAGCCGAAACGTCAGAGTCAATATTTAATCACACAGAGTTATAGAGCAGAAAAAGTGGCCATGAAAATGTGTTTTTCATTTTAAGTTATCTTAACAAATAAAGCCAGGAAACAATAAAAAACAAAATTGAAAAATCCGGTTTTTTTTTCGAATATAGGTATTCGGAAGTATTCTGAATTTTTCAAAATGCAATACGGCATTTTATTGATCATCAAATTGCCCAACTTTGCCTCCATTTAACCAATCCTGTATGTCTTACTGTTTCCGAAATCCCAATGATGAGCGTCGAATTCGAGCCACCCTCTACATATAGACTTGGTGTTATGTATAGATAGATGTTTATTATATATTATATAGTTATATTAATATATATCTATATAAAATACATAAAGGATTTTATTTCTCCTCTAGTAATCCAAATATTTGATAAAACAGAGCTGCAAAAATTGTGAATATTTTTTGAAAATATGTATTCAACATAAACTATAAATTATATAATTTGTAACGATACATAAATAAACAGAGATCACTTTAATTTAACTCCATGTAAAGCGTAATTTATAGAAATATTTGAACACCAGCTCCAACGGTTTGTTACGATGTTGTAAACCATTCCGTGTATCAATTTTGCCCGTATGTTATCTAAAAATGAACAATAAATTATAGTATACTACACCAAAAATGCCAAACAGTGTCTTAACTATAATATTAAGAATATTTCCTTATTGTTAAATCCAGCAACCAATACAAAATAATCTAAGACCATGCTAATTAAACGGCAACACATTTACTGGTAGTATGACAAATGGATCTGAAACGGTAAGGGGAACGCAGTTTCCTAAAAACGTGGCCGATTTCATTCATCATAGTCTAAAGTGAATTGTTTTTGTAGGGCTAGTTGGGGTAATGGTAAATAGGGGCAATTGTAAACAGGTCCAATAACTTTTGAATTTGGCGGGTAGGAAATAATTCGACTGTACCACATCTTTGATGTGTATTGACTCGATTAAATGAGTTTCTAGTACTATTTGTTTATGGTGCAAAAACATTTTGTTTGGAGAACTGCTTTAAATCTTGTAAAACGTTTTAAGCTTGATTTTCAAGCATCCGTTATACGTTAGTCCGACGGTGCTCTGATTGGTCATAGCGTTTTCGCGCCACTTTTCATCCGTAAATATTTTACTTCAGCCCGTCAACGGACCCGTTTATACGATAACGGACGTTTTGACAAATTTAATCTAACCTTAATAAAAATATAAGTAAAACAGCAAAAACGTTATGGAAATGAAAATATAAAATAACAACAACGTATATCCGATAAACGGAGGCATGAAAATGCAATAAATTTAAAACCTGCGTTATTTTCTAACCAATCAAAGTCTTTAAATTCTACCAATAAAATTAATATCGTATCAACGTATCGTCGGACATCGGATGCATGAAAATTATGCTTTATACCTTAGCGAAATTTTGTTTAAAAATTTCAATTTGCGAATAAGCTAAGATAATTTATATATATAGTCGTTTCATTTAGTGTTGCATTAGTAAAATGCATGTTACAATTTGAGATTAACTTTTACGGGAAATTAAGTATAGAGGTGTTACAAATTCCCCAGTAAATAGGATTGCGGGGCAACTGTAAACTTGATTTTGGGGTAATAGTAAACACGTGTTAACACTGATAAGCTCCACGACAGATATGAAAAAGACCAAAAAATGAGAAACGTTAAAAATGCATGAGTTAGGTTTGTAGGAAGGAGGATAATATATTCGTTTTCGGGAAAGATAGGTGTTTTTGAAAAACCTTAATATTTTTTGCACACTTTTGATGAAACAGTAATAAATAATTTGTCTTTATAATAAAATGTTTTATTTTGTCTCCATGGGGAAAATTGTAAACTTTTAAACACATTGATAAACTTATAACCCAACTAAAAATAAACTTGTATAGTTCTTGGTTCATTATTACCCCATTTAAAAAATATGTTTACATTTATTTAACCTAAAATAGGACAATATTTGATTTTCCTATGGGGTAAATGTAAACAAGTTTTTTTTGGAATAAATTTCTAGCTGTCCATCAAAGCACCTATTAAGTAAAGTGTCTTAAAATATACCCTTTTAGAATTTTCAGTGCAAACGTCAAAGTCTCAAAGTTATACCGTGTTAAAATTATTTTTGTTAAAATCGTTTACCCCAACTAAACTACTTATTTGCCCAGTGGGTGAATATACAATATGTTCCCAGATGGTCTTTACAAGAGGAAAAAAAACTTTTTTATTATTAACATTTTGAGAAAAATGCATTCTACATAAAAATTGTTGCTTATTCTAAAATGGTTAATACCGATTTCAAATTTCTATACCGTTTTAGAGAAAATTAAAAAATACATAAAAATATGGTTGAATTTTTGCCAAGTCCTAAAAATCAAAGCGCGTTTCTATGGTAATATAATCTCCATTTCATTCTTTGATAGAGGGTTATTATTAATATTGATTAACGTCATATGTTTTGCTGTTGTTAAAGTATCACATTTTCCCATAACTATTATTACCCAGGGGTGGGAAAGTGAAATAGCAAAAGCGGTTCAACCGTTTCCACGGAAATTTCAAATAAAATAGTTCCAGCCTCAGGCGCTAGGTGGTAGTGCAATTAATTTTTAAGTTAAGAAGTTGCTACTAGTTATTGCCAAATGGTGTTAAATCAGAATTTTTTTTGTAGTTTCCATAGTTTCCAACGGCCATTGTCATACTATTGTCAAATTCTCAAAAATTATTGGAGTTGTCACATTATTGGTTATAATAATTTGTTAAATGTATTTTAATTAGACAATTCCTTTTGTTTGTGACCCAAAGGCTCTCATGATATGCAGAAGACTGGCGGGAAATAGGTGGGGCTGCGCCCCTAACATTTTGCGCTGGATGTATACCATGATAGTAAGACCCATGATTACTTATGGAGCAGTTGCTTGGTATAGAAAACTAGAGCAACGTACAGCAAGGCAAACCCTGTGCAAAGTACAGAGACTGGCATGTATCTGCATCACAGGTGCCATGAGAACATGTCCAACAGCAGCAATGGAGGTCATTCTAGACCTAACACCACTGCATATTGTCGTCGGTAGTTATGCCAATGCGACAATGATTAGAATGGTCATTGACGGAAACAGTACTGGGAGAATTTTCAGGTCAGGGGCTTGGAACACCCTCAAAAAGAAAATTCCACTTCTCCAACTCCCAGTGGATGACATACCAAGAATTTACAACTTTGAGAAACACCTCACTGTAGTATTGAGTAATAAAAAGGATTGGAAAAAAGAAACGCTTACTCAGCATATAAAAGACCATACCATCACGTGGTATACTGATGTTTCCAAAACCAAAGCAGGGACAGGGATAGGAGTATTTTGCCCGAAAACTAAATACTCCGAACCAATAGGCACCTACCCCAGTATCCTTCAGGCAGAAATTTACGATATCGAAAGATGCGTACAATTTATTTTAGATAGGAATTATCGAAAACAGGAAATTGCCATCCTATCCGATAGTCAAGCAGCACTTAACGCGATCAACTCAGTAACCATCAATTCGAAGTTGGTCAAAGAATGCCTAGAGAAGCTCAACAAATTAGGAAAGAAAATAAAGTCCTCCTACTCTGGGTGCCTGCTCACCAAGGGATAGAAGGCAATGAAGAAGCAAATGATCTAGCTAGAAAAGGAGCGAACACTTCACTAACTGGACCAGAACCGTTCTGTTTTCCAACCGAAACCAACTGAAAGCGGAACTGAAGAATCTGGAAGACTCCATCCATAACTTAGAATGGGTGTCCTCCAACGGTCTAAGACACTCGAAAAAGTTCCTCAGAACTTACAACCGAGAAAAATCAAAGGTTTTCCTTGATTTAAGTAAAAATAATCTTCGGATTGTCACGGGGTTTATAACAGGACACTGTCTCCTCAACGAACACCTCAGTAGGCTGAAACTGAGTACAACGGCGAATGCAGATTTTGTGGGGAAAATGGGGAAAGACCAGAACACCTTATCACTGAGTGCGCCGAGACGACGACCATTCGTGCCATGAACCTTGGCACGTCTGATGTCGAGGATGGAGAGCTGGCCTCTGTGGAGCCGTCTCAGATACTGGCTTTTCTTAAAGCCCTGATACTGTATGATGAGTTATAACTCGTTATAACTCAAGAAAGGGGAACACACAATAGATCTATAAGATCGCGGTGATTAACTCCCCTTCTAAACATTCTACATTCTACATTTGTTTGTGGCCCTAAAAATATAATGTAAGTATTTTATTTTTGCCATCATTTAAGTACCTATTTATATTTACTCCATTTACAAAACTTTGGGCGTATTACGTTGGTCTTGTTTTATTATAATAAACGATGTTTAAATATCTGACTTATATATTATTAACTATAGACTATATATTATTAATAAATAATATAATAATAGCTCCCGTATATAATAATAGCTTTAACGCCTTGGGAGTAGCAAGGTACAGCTTGCTATACTAGAGCCGTTCGGTTTACAAGGAAGGTAATGTGGCTAGCACTACGCTTCAACCGCCTATTATTACCTCAGGATTGTGAATCCCAAGTACTCATTTAAGGCTGAGTCGACCTAGGTACCCAAACTATTTTTATTTTAATAAAAATAGTCGGCTGATGAAATGCCGGGTGTGGGAATCGAACCCACACCTTGAGATTGGTAGACGGGAGCATGTACCTCTACGCCACCGGGCACCTTATTATTAATAAATAAAAACTTTAAAATAATAAATAATATTTACACATGTTTGGCTTCAATTTTATTTAATAGTTGTATAAATTATACTGTTAAATCTTATTTTTTAAACATCACAACGATACTTGTTATTAGTATTGTTGAATTTGTGTAAAAAATAAGATTTAATAATCAAATTTAATTATTTTAGAATAAAATTCAATAAATACGCTCATTTAAAAAGCCCGCGTTTCGATTCATTTAAAACAAGCCCTACGCAATAGATGGCGCCACTTCTGTAGGACCATTTTTCAGTATGGCAGAGTCCATTCTTTTTCTAGCTAGGTATATTCTTTGTTATTACCTTTTCCTTAGTCAAAGTTTACAGAATAAAACTACTTTGGCTAAGGAAAGGGTAATAATAGTTATCGGAAAATGTGATACTTTAACAACAGCAAAACATATGACATAAAATATAATATTTTATTCTGTAAACTTTGCCGTATAAAAAAAAATTATAATCAGGAACGGATTAAGACAGGGGGATCCACTATCTCCAGCACTGTTTAATGTAGTATTAGAAAAAATTATAAAAGATGCAGGAATCAACAGAGAGCGCCTTCTGTATACAAAAAGACACCAATGCTTAGCCTTTGCCGATGATTTAGTTATCTTAGCAAGAGATCGGAAAGAGCTGATATCGGTGACCAAAAGACTAGAAAATCAAGCGCAAAAAGTAGGCTTAGTGTTTAATGAGAAGAAAACGAGATTTATGGAGTGGTCAGATAGGGATTTTGAGAAGGGAAGATGTCTACAATTGAAGTCTGGGAGAGGTAAACGATACAAGTTTGAGGAAGTAGATACATTCACATATCTAGGAGCCGTATGAATCCAAATGTAACTCAAGAAATTATGGCAAGAATAATGGCAGGAAATAGATGTGTCAGTGCATTACAGAAAATTATTAAGAGTAAGAACATTTCTATAAGTTTAAAAATAATTATGTACCAAACAATGATAAGACCAATAGTGCTGTATGCATGTGAAACGTGGTTTTGAATGCAACGGAAAGTTCGAGGCTAGAGATTTGGGAAAGAAAAATACTGAGGAAGATTTTTGTAGGAAAGAAGATAGAAAACATATGGACCAGAAGAACAAATGAAGAATTAAAGCTACTATATCGGGCACCAAGTATAACGGGAGTAGCAAGAGCACAAAGACTGACATTCAAGCAAGAATTCCTAGTATGATAATGAAACGTGAAATAAGTGGAAAGAGAAGGAGGGCTAGACCGAGAATCAGGTGGAAAAAGGATGTAGAAGAGGATTTGAGAAGGATAAGAGTGGATGGGTGGAGAATAAAGGCGAAAGACAGAAACAAATGGAGAAAGATAACCAATCAAGCCATGAGCCTTTTAGGCTTTTAGAGCTATTATATATTTAAACTCTGCAATAGCTTTGAACTAAATAAATTTTGTGCTTCTTTAACATTTATGTATATATTTTAATTTTTATGTTACGAATCAGGAAATATTTCGACAGACGACATCCAAAAACTACCACTTTGCTGCTTCAGATCCCTTTGCAGGAAAATATAACATCGATGTTTTTACTACCAAAACAGATTGTCAAAGTATAGGATTGCCAACTTTCAAAATAAAAAATAGAGAACGAGAAAGTAAAAAAGAGGCACAGGCGAAACATTTTTGTAACCTCGCCCATATGTCTAGAATTTAACAAAAAGTTATGTAAACGGCATGCGATTGATGGTCTTTCTTACTTTCTTAAAAATATTTATACTCAAAATTTGTTAAAATAAATCCGGAGTGGGAGTAGCGAAAGACACAGATTAACAATTTTTAAAAGCATTGTGGCGATAGACGAATATTTTTTAGATTTTGAGTATGATATGAGGTATGTAAGAAACAGAGAACTTTTTCAATACATAAAAGAGGACAGTCAGATCAAAAAGAGGACTGTTCTCTGAAATAGAGGACGGTTGGCAACCCTACCATAGTATAACTAATGCATTAAAAAATATGTGATATTACATATTAAATATGTTGATATTACTCACTATCTTCTAATAATCTCTGCAACTTGTGTGGCGCAATAAACTTTTCTACTTGATGAGTCCCTCTTGGTACAACCTCCAGTATGTTCTCCGTTACATAAACCGCCAAAAGATTTGCCCAAAATGTCTTGTTTATTGTAGTGATAAATATGGAACCGCACGGTTTCAGACACCTGGCACAAGCTTCCACAAACTTATCTTTTTCTGTGACATGCTCTACAATTTCCGATGCCACTACCGCATCGTAACATCCGTTGTATTGCTGGGAATGGTCCTCGATGGCGGTAGAACAATAATTTATTTGTAGACAATTTTTTTCGGCGTGTTTTTTGGCCACGTCGATAATGCGCGAGTTGGCATCAATGCCAGTGACATTTGCGCCTAACCTTGATAGCGATTCTGAAAGTATGCCTCCTGAAAACCAGAAACAATGAAAATTATAGAGTAAAGAAGATGAATTTTAGTGACACAATATTAGTGACATTTTAATTGACACAGGAAAAGGTGAAGTAAAATACAGGTTGAGTTTTCTACGACGTTCTCTATGGGTATCTCGGAAACTACTGGAGATAGAGAGTCGGTTAAATGGGGAAAGAATTGCAATTTTGTGGGGTCATAAATATGGGCCTTTCAGATTTTTGAAAAAGTTTATGGCTTACTAGATATTTCGGAAAAAACAAATTTCGGCCATTTTAAAAAATGCTCCCTAATACCATTATAGTCTATTTTAGACAAAACTCTGATAAACACGTGTCGATAGGATACTTTTGTTTAAATATGACAATTTGACATCTCTGAGAGGTAACGACGATTGAACCTGTTTCCATGGCTAACTAAGTGAAATTGTTTAAAAAAAGAAAAGAATTGGCTATAACTCAGTAATTTTTCGAAAAAAAAAGATATAGCTTTTATCACTGGAAAGCTTTCAAAATGACCCTTTTTCTGAAGTTTCCGAGATACCTACCCATAGACACATCGTAGAAAACTCACCCTGTATAAAAAAATTGTTGCATATTTTATGTGAAGTTCTTTGAAGACTATGTATATGACATTTCCAATAAAATATTGAAGGTAAGAAAACTTGATATCAGCTATCAATAATAACTAATATAAACTATCAATACGTCAACATTTTCTAATGTAGGCCATTTTTAATTATGATTAAAAATGTGTAGAAAAATATTAAAAATATAGCTGCATATTTTAAGTGAAGAAGTTCATTGAAGACCCTGTATATCGTCGGCTTTATGACGAAAATGCGTATCTCGATTTTTGGCGATTTCGAGATATTATATCAACATCATGACATGCCCACTAGGTCCTTTATTTTAAGTTATGAAAATGCGTCCAAGAGAAAATGACACATTCTGCTTAATTATTTTCTGATGGTTGCTTGGAAATAAATAAATGTTCTATCATGGCAGCAGCTTTCTTTTACAGTGTGGTTTATTCAACACACTTGAAAGAAATAAGTCTCCGTTTTTTGTCATAAACCATGGCCAGAATGAGTTAGACTCTGCACATAGATATATTGCGTATCCCGAAAATTGTCCGAGAACAAATGGCCAAAGGAAAATTGACCGAAAGCAAATCACCGAAAGGAAGATTGCCCTTATGGAAAATTGCCCCAAAATCATAATTTCCCTAAGAATATTAGAAACCAGAAAGTTGCCCGAAAAATACAATAATTGTTAGCCCATTATCATTGTCAGGCCTTGTCATTGTCATCTCTGCCCATTTGTGGAAAACGTATTTATTGTGCTATATCCAGCCCTACCTGTTTGGTCAAGCAAATTTGTGGTCACTGAAATTGTTAATTCACAGTTATTAGTATGAAAGAGGCACGGGGAGAAGAAACATGTTTAGTTTGGTTTTTATCAGATTTTAACAGATTGTGTTGAAATGCCCTGTATTAGAGCAATCTTTTACCAAAAATCGACATTTTGGGGAATTTTTATTTCAGTCAATTGTAATTCGATGGTTTTTCTTTTCGGGCAACTAACGTTTGGTTAATTTTTTGGTTTTCGGATAATGCTCCTTCGGTGAATTGTTTTCGGTCAAAAATCAAAATTCAAACCAAATCAAAAAAAATTGAGACTTTAACCAAAGTTTACAGAATATATACTTTTGTAAACTTTGCTTCAACCTCGTATTGCTACGAAATAAAGCAGAATCGGACCCATGCCCATGAGAGATGGCACATGTTTTTTGAAACACCTTGTATAGTTCAAGTGGAGTAGTCGTATGAAGAACCTATACATGACATTATCTAAACATAATAAGAATTCTACCTAAAACCTCGATTTGATTAATGCCATACAGCCACCATCTTTCGATTTGTTCTGTTCATAATATGCTGTCATACCTAATCTTGGAAATCAGTAGACATGCAGAATATTGCAGATACACAAATATTTCAAAAATGCCACTCTAAATTTTCAAAACAATGCAATAACGAAATTTGTTTTTTTTAGAACCACAGACAAACACTACAATTTGATTTAAATTTATAGATTAGATTATTTACATCTTGATTGCTTCTTCTTTTCCTATTTATCAATTTTTATTGAAATCTTTGTGGTGGCAGAAGATTATTTACAAATTCTACTTCAAGTACCTTTTAATAATCTTAAAATAAAATTGATTTAAATCTAAGAATTGGGGGATATATACAGGGTGGTCCGAACTGTTTTCCGGAAACTTCGGCATCATATTCTGCACATAAAAAGGAGTAGTTTCGGAAATACAGGGTGTAGAAGTTTCGTTTTTATTTCGATTTTATCCAAATAATTTTTGAAGTAACGTCAATATTTCGATGAAAATTGGTGTCTGGACACTTGCTGAAAGTATTTTTCGTACTCACTTCGTAGAGTACGAAAGCACTTCGTACATCGTACTCACTTGACAGTAAAATTATATTTTGGCAGTACAGGGTATCCCATTTTAGTTGAAATCATACGGTATCTCCGTTATTAGTGAAGGACGTGGTTTGCACAAACTTGTCTCACTTTTTTGGTAAATGAAAGTTGCTGTAAACAAAATTTTCATAACCCTCTTCGTTTCTGGGCTACAGGGTCTTTTTTAAAATATTGCAATTTGGAATACCCTCCGTATCTCTGTTATTGTGAAAGGTATTGAAAAGGTGAAAACCGAGGTGAAAACTGTTTCTGGTTGAACTTTTTACGTAGAATACAGCAGTCTTGTTTTTCTACAAAAAAAATATTTCTGAAGAATAAAATAAAGTTATATTTTCTCAAAATGAACACCCCATATATTAATGAAATACATTATTCTTATGAGCTTCTCAAAAATATATAACACTCTATATTTATTTTGTAGAATACGGGGAGGGGGTGTCCCAAATTGCAAAATTTTCAAAAAGGCCCTGTAACCCAGAAACGAAGGGGGTTATGAAAAATTTGTTTACAGCTAGTTCCGTTTGACAAAAAAGTGAGATAGGTAAGTGTAAACCGCATCCTTCTATCTTCATTAATAACCGAGATACCGTATGATTTCAACTAAAATGGGACACCCTGTTCATGTACATTTTTTGCCCAAGTGAGATTACCCCTCCTATAAAAATAATCTGATTACGTAGTCTCATAATTCCCTATCGTCTTCAGTCTTCAAAGAAAAATACAATTAAATATTAAAACCTTACCTCCACATCCAACATCTAATATAGACAACCCTTTAAGCGGTGCAGATGTATTTAAATATTCTTTACTGACTACACCTTCATTAACTAGGCCGTCTCTCACAAATGGAACTCGTAATTTGTTCAAAGAATGAAGGCCTTTGGTAGGACCAAATTGACTCCACCATTCATCAGTGATTTTTTCGAAGTTTTCGATTTCTTGCTTGTCAACGGTTGCACCAATCGATGACAAACTGAAAACGAATCACAATAGCTTGACGACAAAATCTATTAAGCCAAATATTTGTTTTAATAAATTTGTTTTTAAATTTATCCAATGTTAAATGAACACTTTCTTTTACATTATCATATTAATAACAGATATAAAAATAAACATATTATAGATATTCAAATGCATATACCTATCTAACCTCCTATGTATCAAGACATATTAATTTTGTTTTTATTTTGAAATGTCTCACTTACAAAAATTATCTGATTTACAGTGAACATTTTGAAACTGCAGAATTTTCTACGAATATCTCCGTTTAAACAAAATACTTAAAAAATCAAAATATCTATGCTGTCCAAAGCAAAATAAGAAAAATCATATCAGTTATTTTGAGAAAGAAATCCATTCTAAATTTAAACTGTCTTATATATTAGGGTGTCCGTTATTTCCCAAGTTGATTATTTTTTTGCTGCCGCCCTCTGAAATTCTAGTTTTTGGTCCAAAAAAATTATCCAACGTAAACTAGCTCTTAATTTTTAATTTAAACCGTGCCGGAATCATGATACTTTTCCCCTTTAAATAACATAGGATTTTCTGACCTTTTGCATTTAATTTTTTATCACCAAAGCAAATAAACTTACAGGTGGAAGAAAGACATATTCTAATACAACATTTTTCGCTCTACAAAAAAGGTCTCTTTGATTTTTTCCATAAAAACATTTCTTTAAAAGTTATTCGCGGTCAAAGTTATGCACATAGTTTATAATCAATTTTTTCTATCATTCACTGCAAATTTTAATTGCGCCTTTTGATTTTGACTAAAAAAGGATCTAGAGGCACACTTTTTTCAATAAAACAATATTTCTTGACCAACTTAATATGGAAAACTAATATTGCGCCATCTATGACCAATTGATCAAAACTATAATTTAAGGTTATTGTTTCATTGCCTTTCAGTGTTCGTAAATATGTGTGTCAATTGAAAAGAATGAACAAATTTCGAGTGGTTTTTATCTTAAATATTACTTGTATCGAATTAATTAAATTAAATTACTACAAAAAACTACTACAATCACATGGTTACTGATAACAAAATTGAGATCTAATAATATTTACTCAGCTGGTACACGTGAATCAAATTTGACTTTAATAAACCAAAGCTACATTTATCAAAACCAACATGACTAATAAACTACAAGTGATTTGAGCGGATGTAAAAAGGGGTCATAAAATTTTTTGCATTGAACTAGATCATCTAATTTTATTATGGAGGAAGAAGCGTAAATAAATAAACCATAATCTAAATAAATAAAACAGTCCGGAAAGAAAAGGAATAGAAGAAAATTGTAGTGAAAATTTGTGTCTCAAAAAATATATAAAGAACTGCTCGCGCCAACTGAACCGACAGACCTACTCGTTCGGTTAAAAGCTAAATTATTTGACGAATTATTATATCTCTTTCTAAATTAAACAAAACGAGGAAAAATAAAATGTTTATGTGTAATATGTTAAGACAGCAAGAAATTTAAGAAGTATTTATCATCTAGGTACATCCTTTCTCGATAGTTTGGTTTTTGGTTCATCTCAATCGCTTTATTTTTGTTGGAGTTCGCTTTTGAAAAAGACACTAACTTTTTCGTAATTTTTACATTAAAACCAAGCATTTGCTGTTGGTCCTAATCAACAGACCTAATAAGTTATCTTGACATAAGATTTGCTTCGTTAAATCTTCTTCTTATAGTCTTCTTCACTTACATGTACGTTCCTTAGATGCAATTCATTATAAATTTGAAAAGCTGGTAAATGGCGGTTTCTTAGCGACAAACTTATAATAAGTCAATTGTCTTCTGGTACTGGTCATCAAGGTTCCTGAACTGTACTTCGTGCACACTTAAATCTGTTGCGACATAATTTTGATCCCTATGATCTTCAATTAAAGCAACTACAGCGGATACAATACTGGCCTTGAAACCATCTCTTCTAGAGTAACTGCCCATAGACACTAATAATATGATTTTTCAATAATATTGATATTACATAAATCATAAACAGTATGGTTTTAATGTAAAAATTACGAAATGTAAAAAATGTTAGTGTCTTCTTCAAAAGCGAATTTCTCCAGCTGTTGAGATGAACCAAAAAATAAACTATCAACATCAAATTATCAACAAACAAACTAGCAAACATGCACCTAAATGATATATAAAATTATTTTTAAATTCCTTCCTTTTGTGACATATTCCACAGGGCGATGTCACAGATACTTCCGAAATTCTAATTACTTTGATTTAGATACATCATGAAATTGGTATCTTTTCCTTTTTGCTGCAAACATTTAGACACAATGACACCATATAAATAAGAAAATAACGTCATTTAACTAAAAATTTAATAAGCATGGCTTACCTTTTATGTAAACACGACCATAGTGGTGTTCTTCTCAAAACAATACTCATGTCAAAAGCAACTGCAAAAAATATGAAGCTACGTAAGTCATCAAATATAATATGTGCAACAGAAGAAGGTTTGACAGTGGCAGTGATTGCTTGTCAATTTAATTCAAAAGTAAATATTAGGAGTAGATCGAAGTTTATAAGATCTAAAGAGTAGATAAATGGCATTTTTCTGCAATTTTTTGGATGCCATCTGTCAAAATGTAGTTTATCTCATTGAACCATTGGAGTAATAATAAACATCATAATAAAATATAATAAATGACTAAATTAAATTCACATCTGATCATTATCTTATTTATAAACAAAACCATTCATAACATTGCTCAACTGAATATTTTAAAAATACATACAGCAAAGATAAAAATCAATCGATAAAGATTACAAATTTTCGCTGTATCTAATGTATATAAATAAAAAATGGCCAACAAACAGTCAGTTAACCTAATCATAAAATGTTTTCCAAAAAGTTCAGTATTTTTATTATCGGTTTATACTATATTCCTCAACTGATACCATCCAGAAAGGTTTCAAGTATGTATTTTCCTTTAATATAAAATATACAGGGTGGTGATAATTTCGAAGCTCAACTCCGGCATCTCATAAACTGCGAGAATCAAAATGGCGATAGTACGTAAGGCTGTACTTAAAACTTCCAAAATTATGGAAATAGAAATAACAGAAAGTTTATAATGTAAAAAAAGACAATACCTAAATGAAGAATATGCATCTGAAAATGGATTAGCCGCAGAACTACTTATATGGTGCATCTAATAATTTAAATCTAATGATTTACAAAAAAAAAAATTGTAATCCTAGAGATTACAAAAAAATGATATTTAGGGTGGATACAGAATAAAAAAATTAATTTAAATTTGATTTAAATCAGTATTTTGTTGGAAAACGTTGCACCTAGAATTAAAAAACAAGACACCTTATGTAACGCGTAACGCTATTTCTCCTTGGCTTATAAGCCCCATACTCACACTTCGCTACTTCACTTCGTTCCTTCCTCGCGTCCCTTCATCCAAAAATCATATATTTACTATGGGAAAATGTCGATTTTATGCGACTCTGTGTGTTCCTTCCTCCTTCGTCAAAACGCTACTTCGTCCGTTTACTTCCTCGAAACGCTCCTTCCACGTACTATCGGTTTTTGGAGGAAGTAGCAAAGGAAGTATCACGAACACAAAAAAATATTAAAATATATAAAATATATAAATCCATCTTGGATTTCATTCGTAGTTGATTTCTTGATTTGGCAGTACGTCTGTACAGGGTGTCCCATTTTCGTGTGTTTTGCAGGGTTTCTCGTTTATGAGTCGAGATACAAAGATGCGGTTTTCACATTACGCTGTTACTTTTTTATGAAACTAAAGATACTACATACAGATATGTCCTAGCTCTCTTACTTCCTAAAATACAGGGCGAATCTGAAATTATTGCAATTTTCGATCCCCTTTGTATCATAACTTATCGAAAAGGTGAAAACGGTCTCCCGTACAGTTTTTCACGTAGAATGGAGTGACGTAACTATTTCTTCGTTGGAATCTGTCTTTTTTTAAATTGACTAAAACTTATATGTTTCTTTAAATACGATATTTTGTATATTATTTTATTTTCCTTGTTACGAGCTTTCTAAAATACTTATTTTCATAAACGGGGTAAAAATGCATTATTTAACTTTATTACATAGTCGGTCGATTTAAATTAGGTAATCAAAACAATCAACTAATTTATTCGACGTAAAATGTTGGTTATTAGCATGTTATTTAAAAGCAGCCCAAGTTCAGTTTCCGTGTAGTTTATCAAAATATTACGATGCAAAGCAAAATTATCTGGTAAAATTAAGTTAAATAAACGGCTCTTATTTTATAAGAGCCGCTTAGCAGTTTAGCAGTACCTAAATAAATAAATATAGAGTATATTATAATTTTCGAAAGCTCATAACAAGGCAAATAAAATAAAAAATAATATATAGAGTGTCCTGTTTAAAAAAAAGAACATAAGTTTGAGTCGTTTTTCGAAATAGACAGCTCCCAACGAAGAACAACTTTCGTCACTGCCATTCTACCTGAAAAACGAGACACGGGCGGTGGGTAAGTACTCAATAGGTAGAACAAAACAAAATCAGGGTATCCAGTATATACCTGTACATTTAGATGAACAGTCTAATTTTATAAAAGGTATTTCCAACGACCGCATAATAAATACCCGGTATAATACCAGTAATATCAGAATAGGCATCTAAAAATTATTTACGAAAATCTATCTTCAAATTACTAAAAATTATTTATAACACGGACGGAAAAAACTACAATTAAAATACCAGCAAAAATATGATTTTGTCATTATTAAATTCGATGTCATATTGTTTACAAGAATTACTGCGGTTAATATAATAATCATAACATTTGAATAATCTTTAGCATTCACAGAGGTGTCGTTTTCAATCCATATAAATTTCTGTATTTAATATGTCCATAAAGACGGTTTTTGAGTGTGCTCGGCACGAAGAAGTCATTCGGTGAAAGGTAATGTGGTCTTTTCCTACTGTATCCCCAATAAACGGGAATAAAAATTTTCTTTTCTTCAACGTGAAGAATATTCAAGTCATTGTTATTTTCTTCCTGTTCAATTATCTTTGACTTCACAGTTTCATGTGCTTAATACCTGAGTGCCTTTAGTTTCAAACCTCCCATATTTATTCCTTAAACTGTTGACTTATTCGGTTAGGCTTTTCGGAGACAACTGCGAATATATCTAACACAGCGGGAATGCTATTTCTAGGAAAATCCCGTTTAACAATCGTAACTTTTTCAGAAATTGCGAAAATCATAATTATTTTATACAAAATTACTCTCATTTCGTACCTTCGAATTATTTTAAAGAAATGGTGGGTTCATACAGCCAAATAAAATAAAATAAGAATAAAATAAAATAAGAAATAAGGAATTCTTATTTGTGTGCGTTCATACAGTCAAATAAAATAAAATAAGAAATATATATTTGCTCATGCGCAGTACGATGAGGCTGGATAAAAGTTAACTTTTACGATTGTTTATAGTAATTTTACTATTTATATTATATTTATTTATTCGTTGCCTACTATATTATACATTTTACTTATGTGAAATTATAAAATAAATTAAATCCAAACTGAAAATATTTGTAGGTTAGAATTAAGCGTGCGCAAAGCCGTTTTCACATAAAATAAAACAAGAAGTTAAAAGATAAAGACTTCTGTTGGCAATTTTTGTTATATTGCGGGCTCTCTTCAATCAAACTTCCAGTTCCGTGCACAATATGTTTATTATCGAAAAATAATGCCACAGTTTATTCCACACTATCTGATACGACTTCACTCCCGGCTCTCTCTCTCACGCGACTTCTTTTATTCGTCTTCGCTCTTTGATCTTGACTTATTCGGCTCGTTGGACTCTTCCTCTGGACTCTTCAAAGGTTGGACTCTCGCGACGCTCACTCAGAGACCACTTCTCTCGACCGTTATCGACGACTCTTCTTCAATGGCGGGTGACGGTCCGTCCGTCTCCCTGCGTTGGCTTCTTTCTCCTTCTTTTTCTACAGCACATTTGGAAAGGGGGGGGGGTCTTCTAGAGAGAACCGTATAGTGATCTGTGGTACATATAAAAATAAAACAAAAGATATAAGGAAAATACAAATAAAACATAAAAATGTGTAAAAGCAAGAAAATCTACCACAATCGGCCATCCTATATCTTTGGTTTGGCCTCAAACAAAGTCCGCTAAGTGATGAGGTCTGCGGGTTGCTCTTCTTGGACGTGCCTCAATTTGGGTTCCACTCTCGGGCTCGATCAAATCTTCCTCGGTTGACCATTCTTCGGACGAAAACTCTTCCGCGCTCTCGTCTTCCTCACTACGTTGGATAGGGTTCTCCTCGGTTACCTCAAACTCAACCTCTTCTTCCAGGTCCAGCTCACTATCTTCTTCATGATTCTTGTATATCTTCATCTGGGATACATGGGCAACAGTGGTGACATTTCTTCCTCCATCTTCTTTATTCAACCTTTCTAATCTATAGGTGTCCCCAGGTAAACATTCAATAACCACTAAAGGTCCACGGTATTTCGCCTGTGTTTTCGTTGGTTCTCCTGTAGATACGGGATAGTTCTTCACTACTACTATCTCTCCTATGTCATACTTCACTCCGACAAACTTTTTCTTATCATAGTACTCCTTATATTTCTTCTGGGTTTGGGTTACTTTTTCTTTTACTTGCTCTCTTATTTGTGTCATGGTTTGATCCTCTTCTTGATTTGCCAACTCCGTCATTTGTGCTTCCTCAAATATTGGGTCGTATCCATATAAACACTTAAAAGGTGTATATCCGGTGGTTTTATTAACAGTACAGTTCAAGTCTCTTTCCACAACATGGAGGTCCTTGTCCCAGTTTTCACCTGAGAAGTTCATAGCTGTTACAATTTTGGGATAATTATCTTCATTTTCGATTCCACTAGGCCATCTGCTTGAGGAAAGTGCGCTGCAGTTAGTTGATGTCTGATCGCGTATTTTGCACATACTTCTTTGAAATCATTTCCTGTAAAAGCAGTTCCTCGATCTGTGATAATTATTTTCGGCGCTCCAAACTGATTAACAAATATTTCAAATTTTTGTCCAGTTTCTTTGGAAGTAGTACTCTGTACCGCAAAGAGTCTTATATATCTTGAAAATGCGTCGGCAATTACTAGAATATGAGTGTTTCGCTTCTTACTTTTAGGAAAAGGCCCTAAATGATCTAGGTGCAATTTTATCATTGGTCTACTTTGAACTGAAGGGCGGGTGTAGTAGTCCTGGTAATTTCCTCCAGGCATTTTCGCTACATGAGACACTCAAGAAACAACCCTTTTATGTGCCTCCTTACATATCTTCTAAGCCCTCTAAACCAGAGATTTTTGTAGAATGGCCGCTGCTGTCTTGTCAAGGGACCAGTGTCCTTTCAGGTCATGATAACGTACTACAGTTGATTTTCTCATACTATCTGGTATCACATAGAGACATTTCACCTCTCCGTTTACCTTCACCTTCTTAAATATTCTTCCGTTTTGTAGTACATAATCTTTTAACTTCATTTTTCTCTTCTTGATTCTGATCGTTAAGCTCTTTCCTCAATATATATCTATTTTTTTGTTAACTTCTCGTCACTCCTCTGAATCATTAATATTCGGTCCTCTTCAGTCAGTACTGTAAAAATTCTCTTCATATAAACCTCTTCTATCATCTCTGTTGAACTTGGTTCTTCGGTTTCGCTGCTCTGCTCAAACAGTCCACGTGCGCCATTTTCTCTCCAGCTCTATACTTTTATCTCAAAATCGTATTCCGCTAAGGTTTGATACCACCTAGCTATCTGAGGATCAACGTCTTCTTCACATTTAGATAGACTAGTGCTTGGCAATCACTCACCACAACAAACTTCATTCCTAATAACCAATGTCGTAATCTCTCAATACAATATACGATCGCAAGAAGTTCTAGTTTTGATGCTGGGTATACCTGTTCCGCTGCATTTGTCTTCTTTGATAAGCAATATACTAAATGTAATTTTCCGTCTTCCCCTTTTTGCAACAACATACCTGCTATAGCCAGCTTTGAGGCATCACAATGCAACTCTGTATATGCGTGTCTATTAAAGAGTGCTAAAGTAGGAGCTCTAGTTAGTTCTTGTTTGAGACTTTCAAAGGCTTTCTGTTGCTCTAGTTCCCATACATACGGTTTTCCTTCCTTCAATAGATCCGTTAGTGGTCGAGCAATATTGGCATAGCCAGTAATAAATTTCCGAAAGTACCCTGTCAGACCTAAGTATCTTCTCACCTCGTGTTTGTCTTTAGGCTCTACAAATTTTTCAATTGAATCTAATTTTATCTTACCTGGTCTTAGGCCTCGTTCTGACAACTCCAATCCGAGAAAACTCACAGTCGTTTCTCCAAAACGGCATTTGTTTAGCTTCAGTGTTAATCCAGCCTTTCTGAGTGCATTGAAAACCAATTTCAGCCGGGTACACATATCAGAGAAATCCCTTGCTGGAATCAACAAATCATCAAGATATGACACTATCAGGTTGTTACGTAATGGTCCTAAAACTATTGACATGAGCTTTGAAAATTCATAGGGTGCGTTGACTAGTCCAAAACAGAGTCTTTGGAATTCGGCGGTCTCATCCGGGGTTATAAAGGCAGTCTTGGCTTTCGATTCTTCCTCTAACGGTACCTGCAAATAACCTGACATTAGGTCTAACGTACAAAACAATACACATCCAGTAAGAGTATCGAAGCAATCCTCCAAATTTGGTATTGGAAAATTAGTTTTCTCTGTTTGTTTGTTCAACCGACGGAAATCCACGACTAATCTCTGCTCTGGAAGCTTTCGGCACTAACAGCACTGGCGAAGCATAGGGGCGAACTTGTCTCCTCGTATAATCCCGCATTGCTTCCATTCTTCCAGTATGTTTTCATAATGTCTCTATCTCGATGGCTAGCTCTGTATGGCTTAGATCGTACTGGTACATTGTTATCCTTTATTTTCACTTCCATAACCTTGGTGCATCCTAGTTCAGACAAATTGGTGGCAAAGACATCCCTAAAATCATTGACTAAGTTTAATAAAATTTCTGGCTCACCTTGCTTTAATCCTTTTCCCAAATTCAAGTGACTTAATCTAACTGGTTCCCGATAGTTTGGTACTGGCTCTGTCTTCTTAACATCTTTAACACCTCGTATTTCACCTATCCACTCGTCTTTTTGTATCAATCTCTCTTCATTTGTGCTTGTCTCTATTTCTGACTCTTTCCTAACATGAATACAGTTTATCTCGCCCTTGTTTATTGTTAAATCACACCCAGAAAAAACAGATTCCTTTACTCTATCATGATTCCATTCTAAATTTTTAAAGGGTTCTTCTTGTTCATACCCAAAATATAAAGTATCCCTCAGTTTAATGTATGCAATGTTCTCCCTCTCAGTGAAACTACGGCCGATTAAAAAGTCGACGGTCTGGGCATCATCAGACACTATCAGTAACTCCACTTGCTCTTCGACATCATCAACTCTCAACAGTACTTTAGTCTTCTTCTGTATATATTGATCGCAGGATATCCGCCAAACTGAATAGAATATAATCTGTGTCCCACTCTGGTAAAGTTTAAATCTCTGGCTACGCTTCTCTTCACAGTACATACAGCACTACCGGCATCGATCATTGCGAGCCTTATGTCATACGGTTAACCTCTATTTCCTTAACATATTTGTCTATTCCGCTACCTTTATTGTATTCCACCTGGCAATAATTTTCTTTTCTCACTAAGTGTCAGCTGGGTATCTGAAGAAGTCTGGGTTTCTTGGACAATTTCTAGACTGGTGACCTGCTCTCCTACATGTAAAAAACAAACCTGAGGTCGGGTGGGTGCTGACTGTTCCCTATTTTCTCTACAATAACGTGCCACATGCCCATAATTCCTGCAATTAAAACATAAAGGTTTACCTTCTTCGTTTCTATCCGGCTTTCTCCTGCCTATTTGCTGTATGATTATCCTCATTCCATTTTCTTTATACTTGAACACACTCAGGGGATACTGCGATTTTAGTTCTTTCAACTCTAGCTCTTTCCACTTTTTTTCATACTCCTGGATATCTCTTAACAGCTCATCCAGATCATCATGTGTCTTAGACAACAGGGAGGTGCAACAAATTGTTATCGTATAAGCCTATTAAGATTTTGTTGCTTTGTATCCTGAAAATTTAATTTTAAATTAAGTACAATAAATTGCATTTCTCGTGAAAATACTCATTGATATCTTCGTGCTTGGATTGGTTTCTTTCTGACATCTTTTTCCATAGAGTGGGTAAATCTTCTTGTCTCAAAAAGGTTTTTCTAAATGCCTGTTCAAAATCCTGAAAATTTCGTATTTCATTCCTCCTCGACAGATACCACTGGTGAGCTCCTCCTTGTAAACTTGAACGGGCAGTTTCCAAACTAAATGTGTCTGGCCACTGGAACAATGTCTTCATGCTCTTGACAGTATCGAGCCATACCTGCGGATTTTCACAAGATTTTCCGCTAAAAATAGGGACATTTTTCGACAAATCAGGTACAATGTGAAAATGTCCTTGTTGTGCCGTCTCTGGTTGTTGAATATTGACATTTTCCTCCGATTTGATCAGTAAACGCTCCAGAAGCGCATCACGCCGCTGGCTCTCTGCCACAAAAACTTGCATTATCCTTTCAATGCTGGATTCATAGCTCGTGGGTCCGGGTGGTAAGGGTGGCGAAATACTTCCTCTTTCTGAGTCATCCTGGTGATCCATGTCTATTATCCTTTAAGTATTTATAACAACAAAATATATATATCTTTCTCTTGTTTTTCCGGTCTTCAAAAAGTCGGGTTAGATCTCCTTTTTAGTAGTATTTTTAGATTAACGGCCTGAGCTGCCAGGGTTATTCGGCCATGTAATAGGATATCCAATCCTATACTTTTTTTAATTATTTTTCTTCTTTTCTTTATATATCGACTTTGCTCATTACATTCAAAATATACAGCTAACTTAGTAATCGTCTTTTAAAGCAAACTTCACACCACAGCTCTACCGACTAACTTCACACCCAAGCTTATTTTTGGCGCCAAAAATTTTGACAAGTTGCTTTACCTTATTTTCGGATTTTTCTCGAGTTTTTCTTATTTATCTCCACAGCCTTTTTTCCTATCCTCGGAAATCTGTCAGGAATCCCACTTCTGAATATTGTTGGTAATTTTTGTTATATTGCGGGCTCTCTTCAATCAAACTTCCAGTTCCATGCACAATATGTTTATTATCGAAAAATAATGCCACAGTTTATTCCACACTATCTGATACGACTTCACTCCCGGCTCTCTCTCTCACGCGACTTCTTTTATTCGTCTTCGCTCTTTGATCTTGACTTATTCGGCTCGTTGGACAGCCAAATAAAATAAAATAAGAATAAAATAAAATAAGAAATAAGGAATTCTTATTTGTGTGCGTTCATACAGTCAAATAAAATAAAATAAGAAATATATATTTGCTCATGCGCAGTACGATGAGGCTGGATAAAAGTTAACTTTTACGATTGTTTATAGTAATTTTACTATTTATAGTATATTTATTTATTCGTTGCCTACTATATTACACATTTTACTTATGTGAAATTATAAAATAAATTAAATCCAAACTGAAAATATTTGTAGGTTAGAATTAAGCGTGCGCAAAGCCGTTTTCACATAAAATAAAACAAGAAGTTAAAAGATAAAGACTTCTTATTTTATTTGTTATTTTATTTGGCTGTATGAACGCATATACGGTATCCCATATAGCCAACTTTCTTATTTTATTTTATTTTATTCTTATTTTATTTTATTTGGCTGTATGAACCCACCAAAAATGTGGCATCGAATTTGGCAATGACACAATCACATTTTTGCTGGTACATATTTTAATTGTAGCTTTCTCTGGGCCGTATTAGAAATTTTGCTAATTTGAAGATAGATTTTTTGCAAATAACTATTCCAAATGAAACGAAATTCTATACAAGAGTACAACTTTAACGCCTCTTGAGGATATAATATTTGACCTTTTCAAAATTAACATAGGATTTCCTGTGTCCGGTATTCCAATATACACACGGTATAATAAATTATTATATTGTTTTTTCTTTCAAAGACACCAATGGACATGACTGTGTAGCAAAAGACTTCGGCCAAGACAGTACAGTATGTGTATGTAATGCCAGTTATTGTGACACCATACCTTTAATTGAAAAATTAAACTCCTCAATGTATGTCAAAATTACAACCAACAAAGATGGTCTGAGGTTCCATAAGGAAATTGGAATAGTTGAAGTAGTAATATTTTCTCAAGAAAGAAAATCTTCGTAACCTTAATATTAACTTTTTAGATTGAGAATAAAGCTTCATACAGTGACATTGTTATTAATGTTAATGCATCCGTTGAATATCAAGCTATCCATGGATATGGCGGGGCATTTACAGATGCCACAGGAATCAATTTGGCCTCATTGGATGGAAAAGTGGCTGAACAAATTATGAAGTAAGTAGATAGCTATTTCATTGCAAATTTATGAAACTTATATTATACTTGGTGGCGCCTCTCATACGCCGCGGAGGCTCCAAGGAGAACGACAGTTTGTATTGAAATTAAATTTAGTGAGCATATGTAAGTTAATTCAGAGCACTTTTTAAAAATATAGTGTTGCCTTGATATATGTGGACTGTATAAATAAATGAACTGCACTTGTATAATATAACAACTATATTAATTTAAAGAATAATACTAAATTTAAGTGAACAGCAAATAACAACGTGGTAGTTGCACCAAGGAACAAAAGCAAAGTGAAATAATTTTTACCCGTCTCGCACCCTCAGACAGGGTTTAGGTACAGAAGCGCCGTTGCCACTTCTGTTCGAACGGACATGAATTTATGGAATAAACCAAACTTAAAAATACATTGATTTACATTTTACATACGGGCTAACATATAGAGAATTCTACAGGGTGTCCGCAAAAAAGTTACATATCAAAGTTGTGTTTTTTGTAATGGAACGCACAAACTGTACAGGGTGTCCCATTTTGGTTGAAATCATACGGTGTCTCAGTTATTAGTGAAGATAGAAGGGTGCGGTTTGCACAAACCTGTGCCACTTTTTTGTCAAACGGAAGAAGCCGTAAACAAAATTTTCATAGCCCTCTTCGTTTTTGAGCTACAGGGTCTTCTTGAAAATTTTGCAATATGGGACACCTCCTGTATCTCTGTTATTATTAAAGGTATTGAGACGGTGAAAACTGTTTATTGTAGAACTTTTTACGTAGAATACAGTGGCGTAGTCTGTTATTCTACAAAAATAATATTTTTAAAGATATGAATTAAAGTTATGTTTTCTTAAATGGAACACCCTGTATATTTATAAATTATATGATCTGACTTGCCATAAGCTTCTCAAAAATATATAATACTCTATATTTATTTTCATTATTTAATGCAATATTTAAAAAAATATATTAAAAGATCATATTTATTAGTAGGCCATGATTGATAATAAAAGAAATTAAAGAATTATTAAAAGTAATACTGCTATCTCTCTCTTGTTGTATTTTGAGAGTCACTAATTGTTAATATATAATAATAGCTCCCGTATATAGCGTTTAACGCCTTGGGAGTAGCAAGGTACAGCTTGCTATACTAGAGCCTTTCGGTATACAAGGAAGGTAATGTGGCTAGCACTACACTTCAACCGCCTATTATTACCTCAGGATTGTGAATCCCAAGTACTCATTTAAGGCTGAGTCGACCTAGGTACCCAAACTATTTTTATTTTAATAAAAATAGTCGGCTGATGAAATGCTGGGTGTGGGAATCGAACCCACACCTTGAGATTAGTAGACGAGAGCCTGTACCTCTACGGCACCGGGCACCGATAATTATTAATTCTTTGTATATTAAAGAAACTTAAATATCTACCGCTATTTGTAAATCTTGGAAGCTATCGTATCGAAGCTTTTAAGCACTCTTTTAGCTAATTTACTTGAAATATACTTTCAGCAAAATGCGGCTCCCCTTCACAACTTAACTTACAACGAAAACATTAGAATTTTGTTAAATTATTATTTCTTAGATCAATGAATTGGAACCAATGTACCCTAATGATGGTCTCCCTGATTCCCCGCTCCCTGATTTGTCCATTTTCGATTTCTAATTTTGGGGATTTTTGAAATATGAAATATATCGTGGCAACTAATACGATGTCGAACACCTCAAATGCTTTAATAATGAAAGCTTTTAGATATTTGCAAACCCATTCCATTATAATAAATTCTGTTATAAAAAAGAGAAAAATATATTTAGAGGTTCAGTGGTAACAGTTCAAAAATAAAATATATCAATTCCAAATAAAATTTTAATATGTGCATGTCTATTTTAGTAAATACCATTTTGATTTTGTTATTTATCACGGCCTACTAATAAGAAAATTATATATTTTAAATATTGCAGTAAATAGTGAAAATAAATATAGAGTAATATATATATTTGAGAAGCTGATTGCAAGGCGTATCATATGATTTATAAATATACAGGGTGTTCCATTTGAAAAAACATAACTTTAGTTCATATTTTTAAAAATATTTTTTTCGTAGAAAAACAGACTACTCCACTGTATTCTACGTAAAATGTTCTACAAGAACCAGTTTTCCCCTTTTCGATATATATAACGGAGATACAGGGGGTGTCCCAAATTGCAAAATTTTCAAAAAGACCCTGTAGCTCAGAAACGAAGAGGGCTATGAAAATTTTGTTTACGGCATCTTCCGTTTGACAAAAAAGTGGCACAGGCTTGTGCAAACCGCACCCTTCTATCTTCACGAATAACGGAGATACCATATGATTTCAACCAAAATGGGACACCCTGTACTATATATTAATTGATTTTCGGATTCTGGGAGAAAAATAAAGGTGAGTTTTTAAGAAGTATATGACTAAAATGTAAGGTTTTTGACATATTTAAAATTTTCTAGAAATAAAGAATTTTTAAATTACAATAGAAGCTACCTAAATTGGAATTTACCCGGTATAGCCTAATATGTAGTTAAATTAAATATTGTACTTATCAAATTAAAACTTGATCCAACATTTTATACAGGGTGAGACAAAATTCATATTGAACATTGGCCACCTTTAAAAGCATGTTACTCTTTTATTATAAATGGAACACCCAGTATATTATTCCGATATTCAATGGAGAATGCATGTCTCTTCGAAATACTATTAAGGTTACCTACCCCTTAAACAAAGATTTTCCTAGATATTTTCATTTACATGATTTGATCTGAGTAGATCTTTATTATTTGGTAAATCTAGGTGGCTGTGATATGTCTGACGTTACTTCAACATAGCTGTCTAATTAGTCCAACTTTAATAACTAGTTACCATTTTGTGTCAGTTAAAACAAAAACATTTCTCACAAATTTGTCAAAAATGCAAACTTATCCTACATAAGAGAGAATATATGATTCTGTTAGATGCACACTGCATTCACCAATTAATAGAATACTTAAATGCTCCTGAATTTATCTAGTCGAGTTTTTTTATGGGGATATGTTAAAGACAATGTTTACAAAACTCGACAAATTGTCGACAACATGAGAGAAATTATTGTAGCTGCTTTTCGAGGTAGAACTCCACATAAACGCCTTTTAAAATGATAAGACAAATTTTGATGATTGTTTTTCCTTTTGAAAAGACAATCATTTTATGCAGTTAACAGGAAAGGAAGCATTTTGAGCATCTGATTTCATCTAGCTAATTTTGTCACATAATTAATAATAATAATAATAATAATAATAATAATTTGACTTTATTTATGTAGGTGGCTTATTTATGTATGTGGTTTAAATTATAGGTTTATATCTAGTTTAATTCTGTAATAATTATAATGTGTTTTAAACATGTATCTTTTTATTACCGTTGAGTATTTTACTCTACAATCTTTAATTCTTGTTAAATTAACAAAAGGTATATCACACAGCCACCTAGATGTTTTCAAATAATAAAGATCTACTGACGCAAAATCATAAAAATGAAAATATCTAGGAAAATCTTTGTCTGAGGGGTAGGCAACCTTAATAATATTTTGAAGATATATAAATTCCATTGAACACCGTAAAAATATACTGGGTGTTCCATTTAAAATAAAGGAGTAACTTGCTTTTAAAAGTGACTAATGTTCCATATTAATTTTGTCTCACCCTGTATAACTTTTCGGGTCAAATTTCAATTTGGTTTAACATACAATAGTTACTGTAATTAAATATCAGGCTATACAAGGTCAACTAAAATTTAGGTAGCTGTTATCGAAATTTAAAATTTACTCTTCATTTTCACAAAATGTGAAATATGTCAAAATCCTTAGATTTTAGGTATATGCTTCTTTAATAAAACTCACCTTTATTTCTTTTCCTAGAATCCAAAAATCAATTAATATATAGGGTGTTCCATTAGAAAAAACACAACTTTGATATGTAACTTTTTTTGGGGACACCCTGTATAATTCTATATATTTTTATAAAATGCTTTCAGTTAACCTAGATATCCTGCCAACGTATCGGTCCTAGAAAAAGCTAACTGCGGGAGTATTGAAGTCATGATTACAAAGTCCCGCTTAAGATGGGCTGGTCACGTATGCAGAATGCAAGAAAACCGCATATCAAAATCTCTGCTTTACGGTGAACTTGTAGACGGTACGAGGAGGCCGGGTGGACAACTCAAAAGGTACAAGGACATTTTCCACAAAAACTTAAAGGAATTAAAAAGCAGAATGAGTGGGAAGAAGCAGCTCATAATAGAACGGAATGGAGAAGAATTGTAAACTCAGTTAACAGCGACAACCAAAAAGTAAAGAGGCAACAAAGCAATGAGATTTTTGAATGTCCGGAGTGCGGTAGACAGATAACATCACGTATCGGGCTTTTCAGTCACAGAAAAGCTCATGAAAGAAAATGCCTTGCGTGACCATCTTCTGATGCGTGTCAAATACTCGTCAACGAGTAATGGAAGTATGTATGTATATTCTGCCAAAATTTCATTTCGATATAAACTACCGTTCTCCTTGGAGCTTCCGCGGCGTATGAGAGACGCCACCCTGTATACAATTTTATAGAGAATATTTGTTATGCTAAGAAATGTTTTGTTTTGTTATGACTATTATCTGATTTACCTACTATTGGTGTAACAGAAGAAATCAATAGTGAAAAATGAATAATTCTGTTACACAGGTCATGCCAAAAGCTCACAAACAAATAGGATGACTAAGTAATCAAAAGTGACGCGGAGTCAATTCAACATAATATCTACATAATAACAAAAAGAAAACTTTCCGACAGAATTTTCACAAATTATTGAAGTTTAAAACCCACTATGTATAACTTGTTGTACACCATTAGAATCGAAAGGAATTTTTATACCGTATGATCAAAAAAAAACGGCGTCCAGTTGGCTGGGAAATGACGGTCAATGATATTACACATATAAATTTACATATAAAATGATAGCAATCGTCATTTCATAGCCATCGCTGACGCCGTTTTTTTCGATCATACGGTATTTAGATATATGTAAATATCTAATATGGCACCTACAAGAAAAAATAAAGCTGGTGAAACGTATGAACTGGATTAAAAATATGAAAACACTATTGTATGGCTGGAAAACCGTGGCAATATGCTTTTGGTTTTGGGATACCTCGTCTAATAACACCAAAAAAAATAAAATCAAAATACTAATTTTCAGGTTTTCTAGAATATCTCCAGAACTATTCGAATTTTAAATATTTCTAAAGAGCATAATATATTATTGACACATTAATGCCATAACTTTGCCGTAATTTAAACATCCTCGTAATCTCTTATAGTTTTGGAGATCCAAAGGGTAGGGTTAGATCCAGGGTAGGGATCCAAAGGGTTCAATTTGAATGACACTGTATTTCATTTGTATAAAACAAAGGTATAAAACAATTAGGAACTTTATAATTAAAAACTTTGATGATTTAAAGGTCTTATTTTGGAATAGAAGGCATTGGGTTTAGTTTGTGCCGTGTTCCAATAGCAGCTACTGATTTTTCAACACGTCCTTATACTTATTTAGAAAACGAAGATCCTGAGTTAACTTCATTTTCTCTTCAAGAAGAAGATTATCAGTACAAGGTAATATTCAACACTATACAGGGTGTCCCAGAAATAAGTGCAAGTATTTTAACTGGTAATATAGTTCAACCCCAGAAACACGCCAATGAGGTTTTTTAGGAAAAAAAATTAAAAATTTTGAAAATTCGATTTTTTTTTGAAAAATTTTTTGGAATTTTTTTTAGTTTTTAGTTAAAAAACATAATTTATTGATAATATGGCAACATAGGCATTAGATTAAATTTACAAGAAAGAAAATCCCAGAAAAGATCCAGTGGTTCCCAAAATTTTAGCGAAAAATATTTTTTTTGAAATAAAAAAGTAAAATAGCTCCATTATTTTGGACTTATTTGAAAAACGATAAAGAGAAAATATATCTACCACCCCTTAAAATACTTGCACTTATTTCTGGGACACCCTGTATACGGAGTGTCTTAGTGACCATATCGAGATGATATAGATACTAAACACTATTATGCACTTCTAATGAAATCGGAAGTGATGTTCTGTTGTTTTTGATGCATTTTTGTCAACAGTGTTGACAAAATAAATTTGAACCGAATTTTCAATAAAGTTAGTTAATAAAGAGCAAAAATGGTGGCCTGTTTAGCGGTTTCATGGTTACTGGGTATGCAGGGTGTCGAATATATCGTTTTGACTAACGTATTTTTGGAATCAAAAATTAGTTTTTAAATGAAAAATAAGTTAATTGGACACAATCATTTTATACACAAGTATTCAAGCGATATTGGGACACACTGTATTTACGTTTTACTTAGGCCTACCAACTATTTTGAGGTAAAAGTTGCAAACTAGTTTACAATCAGTTTCCAACTAAAATAAAATTTCTGCACGCACGCACGGATGCAAACTCATTCTGAATCATCAGTTTGAATCAGTTGATGTAACAGTTCATTTTTATAATTTCTACAATGTCAAAAATTCCGACTATTTAGTAACAGATTATGAAGACATTATTGATTATTTTCAATACCACAAACAACGCAGAACACCGCGAGAGTACTAGGTCCATCCATACATGTCTTTTTCTGTCACGTCTTTCCTTGAGTACTCAGGAATTTTATATTTATTGAGTTATTCGTGTTTCTCAACCTCTCCAACAAATCTAATGTTCAGTTGTTGATCACCCATTTTGATATACATAAAATAACCACGTGGAAATCACTTGAAAACAGGTAACTTTAAAATTGCAACGCAATTGCGACCTCGGGAAATGCTCACAAACATCACATTTGTGACTGATTGCAAATTAGTTCCATTCGAATTGATTCGTGTACGGATTTACACTGCTATACGTACGTTACCGAGGTTGCAAAACAGTTGCAAGCTCAACCAATTTGCAACTTTTGTCACAAAACAGTAGCACTGTGGGTCTTATGATTATGACGTTTCAGATTCCATACATTCTTCAAGCGTTGAATCTAACCAATAATAACCTTAAACTGATTTCATCGCCATGGATAGCTCCTTTATGGATGAAAACTATAGCAAGTTACGCAGGATCAGGAACGATCAAGGAAGAATATCATCCGACGGCGACGTGGGCAAAATATCTTTTGAAGTTCTTAGAAGAATATGAAAAGCAAGGAATTGATTACTGGGGTATAACAACTGGAAACGAACCTAGTTTGGCTCTATACCCAGATGCAATTCAAAGCACCCCTACTGTAGCTTGGACTTCAGCAGATATGGTACATAACAAAGAGTAATAAAACTATAGAGATGACAAGTCATTCATAAATTCATATTTGTTTATAGTCTAACATACATTTCTGATTAAAATAACCAATCCGTGGTCCGGACCTTAATGTTAATAGTGATGAGCAAATGCCAGACCCCCTTGGTCTTGGCCTTGCAGTTTATAAAGTAGCCTTGGTCGTGTGGTCAGACTCTTGCAAGTCTTGCAGTTATGTAATATGTAATAGATTTTTACTAGAGGAATTTTCTACATAAAAAATCCTATTTTAAGTAATTGAATCAAATGAAACTTTAAAGAAAGAAACATTATTTCTCTGATGAAAATTTTTATGCTTCCTTCATCTACGTTAACGTAGATGATTTTTATGTTGTACTACATTATACAGGGTCGCTTTTATTACATGCATATTTTTTTATTACATAAACGGTTGATTATTAGGTAAAATATAGGAGGTACCGCAAAAAGTTAAATACAAAAGTTATAAGATTTTCAAATATCTATTAGCGAGTAATAAGTTCATGTATACAGGAACGGTCATAAAGTCGTGGCACATAAAAGTTTTATTTTTTTAAAATAGAACCTCCGTATATTATTGCATATTTGAATCCATCCTTCAATTCTAAGCAAAAATCGAAATACACACAATGTACCTGAAACCAACCGTTTCCGAGTTATTGACTTTGAAAATGTCACTTAAACAATTTGATTTAATTAATTTCGATATGTTCAGTTTTATTTAACGATGCCATTCTGCCGAAATTGTGATACTTATAATAATATTTGACATCAGTTCTCAAATTAGCATTTATAGATGAATAAAATGAGATTATATCAAGTCTAGAAAGTTTAACATCTCAATTTATGTACTTTGTGTATTACGATTATTGCTTGAAATTGAAAGAAGCAATAATATACAGGGGGTTTCATTAAAAAAATAAAGTTTGATGTGCCGCAACTTTTATGACCGACCCTGTATACTTAAATTTATTAGTAGCTAATAGTACTAGTAGCAACAGTATCACAGTTTCGGCAGAGTGACATCACCAAATAAAACTGAACATTTCGATATTAATTAAATCAAGTGATATGTTCAAAAGTCAATAACTCGGAAACGGTTGGTTTGAAGTACATTTTGTGTATTTCGATTTTTGCTTAGAATTGCAGGGGGTTCTATTTAAAAAAATGAAACTTTGATGTGCCACGACTTTATGACCGACCCTGTATACATAAATGTATTACTCGCCAATAGACATTTAAAAACGCTATAATTTTTGTATTTAACGTTTTGCCGTACCTTGTTGCTAATGTTTCAACAAAAAATACCCATAAGACTTATTCTTGAAGGCTATTATAATTCACTGACAATACTTTCGGAATAACCTTTTATTATTTTTCATTTAATAAATTAATGGGGAAGGGGTAAGTAAATAAAAATGTCATTATTATTATTATTATTTAGGAAAAATTACATATTAATAAAAACATTACTAGTTTTTGGTTTTGCGTAAATAGTAAATCTTGCATTGGTCGGTCTTGGACTCGCAGCTTTAACGCTAACGTCTAACGTCTTGGTCTTGCCTTTTGGCAAGACCCTGACCAAGACTGCAAGACTAAGAGCAGTCTCGTTGTAGTTTCGTTACTATTTAAGTATAATATACTTTCAGCAAAAATTTATCAAAGACCATTTAGGACCAACTATTGAAAATTCATCATATTCAACAATCAACCTAATTGCGTTAGATGATCAAAGGGGATATCTTCCAGACTTAAATGAGGTATGTTTATTAAGAAATCCTTTGTCTGATATATTTTTCAGAAGTTTGTATTCTTCTTTCTTGATAGTTTGTTTAATACGTAAAAAAACTCAACCGGAATAAACATTTCTGAAAAACTTAAAAAGATATTTACTATTTCCATTCATATATCTTGAATACACTGTATATTTACACAGATACTTAATGATTCAGCTGTTAATAACTACATTGATGGAATTGGTATTCACTGGTATCAAGACTGGTATGAATCTGCCAATTTACTTGACGAAGTACACAATAGGTATCCAAATAAATTCCTTTTGGGAACTGAAGCTTGCTCTGGTAAATTAATACAACAATAATTGAATAAACATTTTAGGTACAATACTTTTTACTGTTTTAGGTAGTACCGTAATAGACTTAATATTTAATACCCGAGTTTTATTAGGGTCATGGCAAAGAGCAGAAGATCAAGCGAAAGATATAATTGAGGTACTTCATTGTTATATTTTAAACGTATAAATTATGAACATATAAGCTTTGATATAAGTATGTAATACCACATAAACTTTTAGTCACGTGATTAAGCTTGACCGGCAGAGCGTTGTCCACTTTTACATATTTTCTCTTATTCAAAATATTATAGGAAACAAAAATAAATTAATAATTATAAATATATAAACAGTTTATTATTTACTTCAACAAAACTCACCACCTTAACAGCACTTAAAGGACATAAAGGGCCAAAATATTTTAATAAGGTTGCGATGAGTTTTTTACAATAGCTATTAAGCTATCTTGTACCACTTCGCACTAACAGAGGTTCTAAAACGAACAATGTTCTATTGTAAGATCTGCTAGTTACTAACTTTTTAAGCTTAAATTATTACAACACAATTATTCATGTATGTGGCAACTTGACATTTTTTACAGCAGAGCTACCACCTGAATTCCCAGACGGAAATTTAAATTCCAGTTAATCAGCCCGGCAACGAAATATTGCTAAGGTTGGCAACAATGAATTTTAAAATCGGCCCTCGATTACGTAACTTAAAGTTTAATCGGTATCAAATATAGATTGCCTACCATATGATCAAAATAATAGATTTAAGCATATTTAAAAGAATGTTAATGCACTTTTTCCTACGAATTATTCTCAAGTCTGTCTCAGAAAAAAATCCCTGCAATGTCTGTTGCGTCTGTCATTTTAATTGATAGGCAAACGCAAATCGTATTTTCTGTCATTTTTTAGATGTGGTCTGTTGGACAGACTTTATAATATAATATTAGGATAAGAATAATAATTACGATATATTATATACAGGGTGCTGATAACATAATGTTATATGCATTTACAAATCAAGTGCATTTACAAAAAGATTACAGTGAAAATTTCGAACATTGAACGATATGGAGGATCACACTGTATTTTGTGAAATTGCGTATATTTGAATTAGTTTGTTTTTTTAGGACATGAACCATTGGGTAACGGGTTGGATATCTTGGAATATGGTTCTCAATACAGATGGAGGTCCTAGTTATACATCTAATTTTGTAGACGCTCATATTATAGCAAACATAACAGCAAATGAATTTTATAAACAGCCTGCCTTTTATACGCACGGACACTTTTCAAAATTGGTACCTCCGAATTCTAAAAGAATTCAGATGATACTTCAGGCAAATAATAATGAAAGTGATGTAGTAAGCACTGCTTTCAAAAAACCGGATGGTGGAATTGTAATTACAGTTTTAAACAGGTAAATTTCTTTGAATTTCAACATTTTTATTTGATAAAATATGTTTACGAATTTGTAGCTCAGATAAAACCCTGGATATTAATATAATTGATGAGGATTTGAGGATAATAGAGACAGTAACACCTAATTCATTATCTACAATCTTGTATTGGAAAGACTGATAAATGTTTCTTTTTTGTCTTAGATTAAGTTTAGTTTATAACAAATATGCTACCTAATATAGGCTATGTATATTGAAAATAACAATTATTATAATCCTTGTTTATAATAAACAAAGTTATAAGAACTATACGAGTACATTTCATAACGACACCAAGAATTATTATTTTATACAGATTTCAAAAATAAAAATAGCTTCCAATCAACTTACCTTAAATATATTTAAGGCCAAAATTAATTAACTCCCGAAAACACAAAAATAAATAAATATTGAACTAATTTTTATAGAAAAACAATATTTTTATTTTTATTTTTGAAAACTAACCTCAAATTAAATTTAATTAAATTCTGCTTGTCGCGCCATCTTATAACGAGTAGTTTAAGTACGCGAGGTAAATCAATAAATCTAAAACAGAGTTTTCTACTACCTTGAAACAAGGAAGTTGCAATGTTGGTTATAGCGTACGAAATTATTGATAGATGGCACAGAAAACACAAAATTCAAATTATAATTTTTAAGTTTATTATAAGAAATTATACAGTATACAGAGCGTTCCAATGTCTCAATGTATGATGATGATTTTTACTTAAGAATTTTTGCGGGTGCGTCTCAAAAGTAGCTCACCCCTATATTTTTTTTATTTTTTCAGAAAAAAAACGGGATTTGTTATGTTAGTATGTATATGACAAATTATTGTGATTGACGTATTCAATTGTTTTCGGCCACTTCCTGTTTCACCTGAAATTACTACAACTTTTGATTTTTAAATGGCACCGTCTGTATTTTTTTTACTTTATTTGATAGAAAATGACACTCTTAACTCTTAATCGAATGACATATCATATGTCAACTTTTCGCTCAAAAACAAATTGTATTTTAAATTTCAATCTAGAGTGCAATGGATCTGTTAAAAATACTAATTTTTAATCAAGGAGCATTGGAAAAATAGATTTGATCGTCTAATATTTTTAGTGTCTTGTCCTGGCCGGTTAAAAGATGCCCAAATCGTATTTTTAATCATATCTCAATTTTTTCAAATGGAACGAGGGTGGTTCATTAGCACATTTGGAAAAAATATTTTTTTACGAATAATTTGATAACACACCCTTGGTATTTTGAATCGCGCATGTTATAATTTCAAATAAACCATATGCAAAAATGTCAAAAGTTGACATATGATATATCATTCTATTCAGAGTGTCATTCCCATATAGAATAAAGTAAAAAAATGAGCGCTGAGGCTCTTAAATGTGCCATTTAAAAATCAAAAGTTGTAGTAATTTCCGGTGAAACTGGAAATGACCGAAAACAATTGAATATGTCAATCAATTATTCTAATTCATGTCATATACTAACATAGCAAATGTCGTTGTTTTATCTCAAAAAAATAAGAAAAATTTATAGGGTTGAGCCACTTTTAAGACGCACCGGCCGGTATAGTACCTTGATACATATACGGTATAAGGTACTATACCGTATATGTATCAAGAGTATTTTTATATATTTTTTTATTTTTCTTCAAAACAGTACTTAAATTGAGTTGTAAAAACGGGATTAACCGTTTTAGAATAGGCAATTTTTTCAAAATGTTAATAATAAAAAGTGTTTTCCTCTTGTAAAGGCATTCGGGGGGCATACTGTAATGTAGCCACTTGCGGTTAAACCAGAAGCACCACTAAGTAGAAAGTATTTTAAATTTTAAACAATTATACTATAGGAAATATTCTTATATAGTATAGGAAATATTCTTACTCTAAATAACGAGAAATTATGATAAATAAGACAAAATGTGGTATACAATAAAATTATCACAAAAGAAATTAATGATCCAGACCCTCAAAGTTTTTTCGTATTCACATTCAGTCTCAATTCTAAATTTAATATTAAAATCTAACACTAAAGAAAAACGGTGTTATATTAGATGGCTAGGAAGTTATCGCTTTCAAGTTTAAAAATGTATTTATCGGTTTCTAAATGGGTTTGACGGGAGTGACACGCGAAGTGAAAGCTGGCCACTTTCCGGGGTTCACCAGGTCTAACGACCTTTTCGAATCTTATGAAAGAATGACTGACTGTATGCACTTACTCCCAAAATGCATTTTCGGCAGGTCATCGGCCTCAGCACACAGGATGCACCAGAGGTTGTTAGCCTTGCACAACCCGGAGTGTGTTTTGGTACTGCCACGAACGACAACATTCTCGCGCCAGTGATGTGACAGAGGAGTGACAGGAGATAGAACTACTTAGGTATATATAAGATGTAGGTGATTTAAAATAAGCCTTCGAAATCGTCGAAACTCGTCTAATTTTGACGACAAGCGTATTAGTAAGTATAGGGAAAGGTATAATAAAGCGGCATTGAGTTTATTGCTCTATATGACTTATAGTTATTTTTTATACAAGACGATAAAATTGTATTTTATCGTCGACCGAAAAGATTAATTCACGAGCGATGAAATCGCGAGTAAATTAATTTCGGGAGACGATAATGCAATTTTATCGTCGTGTATAAAACAATATTTTTTTCCATAGCGAGTTTAAAGTTAGATATGTTTAGATATGTTTTAAAAAATATTCAGAAATTATTATTTCAAGGAATTTATTACGAGTAGAAAAAATATTGTGCTGGGTTGGCGTTGGTTCCTATGTAATTTGACAAATAAATAAAGCTGTCTCTTTAGTTGTCAGTTTTGAGTCAATTTTTTTTAATTCTCTTTCGTGTCGATTGCTGATTGAATTGGAGCCAGAAATGGCTCAAAACGAAATAAGTAAATTATCAACAGATATTCAGGCTGAGGCGCCAAACGCCATATCCAAACTACTTCCATTTAAATCCCGAATAACTTATGAAAAGGAATACAAACATTTTCAAAAATGGAAGCAATTAAAAAACGTGCGAGAAGTAAAAAGTTTTTAACCTATCCCCGCTGTTAAAGTATAATTTAATCTACCGTTGCGGTTTAAGTATTATTTTATCTACTATTTTTGATAGATATAAGGCAATTTATACTTTAGAGTAAGATCTCAGAGCGATTAGACATAGGTAACTAATTTTCACCAGGATGAAACCTTAGGCTCTCAGTAATGCTCTGATGTGCTTTGAATACCGGCATGTTCGTGGTGTTCGCCCTGTGACATCTTGGCAGATACCAGGTGAGAAAGGTAACTAAAAGAAATAAATGAACTTTACTTATTTTTACATGTCTGATTTTTACATATGTTATTGTGTGTATGTAAAAGTGAAAACAATACATACTTATGGAGCCGATCAGCCTACTATTTGATTGCATGTGATCGCGGCTTTATAAATATTATATTGGTTACAAATCGGCAAATCGACTAAACAGTCGGCCGACTAAGAATTGCATGTCACCCCCAGGCTTATTTTCCAATATTTCTTTTTACAGTATCCAAACTATATTTAAAAACGTAAGTCAGATAATTCAAGATATCTTGTTTTTCAAATTAATATTTTTTTTTAGAAAATATGCCATGCTTAATTGTTTTGAGTAGTTTATATGCAATAAATTAATTTACTTTAATAACTATTAATTATTACTTTAGTAAAAAAGCTTATCATATTTAAATAAAGATGCAAAAATATTAAATCGAAAGCAGTAAGTATTTTTAAAATATTTAAATACTTTACTCGGAAGGGCATAGTTCTCCCGCGCTCATAGTCGCGGCCGAGTAATTTTTGTGTTTAGAGGATGTTTGGTCATGACAATCTGTTTGACTGATTAAATATAACTTTATATGAGCTATCTTAATAACATATGTAAAAATCAGACCTGTAAAAATAAGTAAAGTTATTTATTTCTTTTAGTTACCTTTCTTATCTTGTATCTGCCAAGGTGTCACAGGACGAACCCCACAATCACCCAAGAGTCTAAGGTTTCAACCTTGTAAAAATAAGTTATGTCGGATCGGTGTGGGATCTTGGACTATTTAGTTTATGAATATTTGCTCCACTACCGGGGAAATTCATTACTGCAGGAAAAGTTTTGCAAAAATTATATCAAACCACCTGCAGCCACATATAGAAAAAATCCTCTCAGAATCGCAAACGGGCTTTCGCATCAACCGCAGTACCGTTGATTCCATATTCTCCATCCGCCAACTACAAGAGAAAGTGAAAGAGTAGCAAAGTAAATTTTATGTTGCATCCATACACATCGACCTAACAAAACCCTTCAACTCTGTAAACAGAGATGCACTTTGGGTAATTATGCAAAAGTTTGGGCTACCAAACAAATTTCTTACAGTGTGTAAAAGTTAAGAGTGTCACCATCATGGATCACTGAGCGATCCCTTCCTAACAAATACAGGAGTTAGGTAAGGAATGTGTCTTGGCGCCTATCCTATTAAACATATTCATCCTATTCAAACTATTCAACATAAAAACGCTCAGGGAAAAAAACATGTATAAAATTCATCATGGAATTTCAATACGCTCTAGTCGGAAAAACGTTACAGCAATTTAATTAATACTAAACACATAAACCTGGCCATACGAGGCTTTGGGCCTTAAGCTGAACATCGATAAAACTGAGGATAAAACTAAAATCATGTGCAGTCCCTCGGAAAATCACAACAATGTCATAAACATCGGAGATCTATTGCAATATGTAGCAGAATTCAATTACCTCGGCAGTTTGATTTTGTAAAAAGCAAATTCCGACTCTGAAATTCAGCACATAACACAGGCCGACATGATTTTTGTAACACGAGTCAGTTGCAGAATTTCTTCATAAAAATATGCTTCTAATAACAGAAAAAATACTCCTGAAGCTCCTACACGTACCACTTTTCAGTTGCCTAATTACGCCTCTTTTTTGCAGGTAGTCAATTTTATAGATGTCAGGTATTAAGTCTAGCTTGAGTTCCAAAACAACTAAAAACATTGATAAATATTTTATATGACATGTAAAGGGTGCAGGGAAAACGAGATTAGAGTGAAGAAGCTGAATTAACTAAAACACGAATTTAAGTTGAAAAGTGACATAAACTTTTGTTCAATTATTACCCTTTATCAAAAAGCGATTTATTCGTATTGGATATTAAAATAATAAACACCATGGCCTTTGTCAGCCCTACAAATTAGAACTCTCGGGATATATTTATTAATAAAGCAAGGAAAAGCTTCCCCTCTATATCGACCCCATTTTGGCACATCATTTCCAACCCGTCAGTCAAAGTTGTCCCCTTGTTGTCCCAAACTCGGTACGGTTTGAATAAAAACGCACCACGAAAACAGAAAAATGCCTAAAATAGGGCGTAGGACAGCAAATGTTGTGCGTTTTGGATATTGGCACGCCACGATGCCAGATCTTTAATTTGTTGAACGTACTTTATCATTTTCACCATAGAATAAC